AGGATAGGGACACACGTCGTTGCCTTTTTGTCGTTTCTGCCTACGCTCCCACTGACTGCAGCTCAGATGAAGTGAAAGATGAATTTTACAGAAAGCTTCCGAACTTCTTCAGAAAGCTAAACGCTCAGACATAGTACTCGTAGCAGGTGATTTTAATGCTCAGATAGGCAGTTTAAACCAAACAGAAAGGCATTTAGGTGGATATTTTAGTATTCCGACACAGCGAACAGATAATGGTGATCGTCTGCTGCAGCTATGCTCAGACAATCGTTTATTTTTAGCAAACACAAATTTTAAGCATAAGGAGAGACATCGTCTAACATGGCGACCCCCTACACCAAACCAACGATGGACTCAAATAGACCATATTGCCATCAGTCATCGTTGGAGAGGGTCGGTAGAAGATTGTCGCTCATTCTGGAGTACCTGCTTGGACTCCGACCATGCCCTAATACGGGCACGCATCTGCTTGCGCCTCACTGGACGCAAAAAAGCCACATTAAAAAGACCCATTAGAACTGAGTTGAGTAACGAGAAAACCAAAAGTAGGTTCCAGGAACAACTGAGGTCACACTTAGGTAGTTGTGAAGACGAGGCTGACCCAGATGTTGCTTGGAAGGGCATACAATCAGCTGTGGAAACAGCAGTGACATCTATTAGTGACTTAAACCACAGAGTTACAAGGAACCAGTGGATTTCTTCAAGGTCTGTCACACTGATGGATTCTCGCAAACTCGTCCCATCAGGTTCTGAACATGATGAAGAGCGTAAACAAATCAGATCTAGGTTAAGAAAAAGTCTAAGGAACGACCGTGAGCAGTGGTGGGTAACGAAAGCAAAAGAGATGGAAAAGGCGGCGACTATAGGGAACACAAGACAGCTTTACAGACTAATAAAAGAAACTGGAATTAATAAGTCAAGTGTAAGTGAGATTATTTCGGAAAAAGATGATACTCTCATCTGCTCCCAGTCCAGACGTTTAGAACGATGGGCGGAACATTTTAGAGAACAGTTCAGCTGGCCTTCAGCTACTCTACAACTACCCTCCATTCCCAGACAAAGTGAATGGAACATTGAAGTAGGTCCCCCAACTCTTGCTGAAGTTGAGAAGGCTATAGTTAATCTGAAACGAGGAAGGGCAGCTGGTCCAGATGGATTGGCTCCAGAAGTCTTTAAGGATGGTGGTCCAATTTTAGCGATTAGGTTGACTAATATTTTAGCTAAGATCTGGGAATTAGACGTTATCCCATCTGACTGGTCGCAATCACTTATCGTCCCAATATATAAGAAAGGGTCAAAATCATCCTGTGACAACCACAGAGGGATTAGTTTAACAAACATAGTATCTAAAATACTGGCCTCGATAATTATCAAACGCCTAACTAAGACTCGTGAACTACAAACACGAGAGAACCAAGCTGGCTTTAGACCTGGTCGTGGCTGCATCGACCACATATTCACCATTCGTCAGGTTCTAGAACACAGGCATACCTATCGGCGTCCGACGATGGTGGTCTTTCTTGACTTAAAAGCAGCATTTGACTCTGTAGACCGCGAGACTCTGTGGCAGTGTCTGTCATTGAAAGGCGTACCTCAGAAGTACATAAACCTTGTGAAGGCTCTTTACTCGAACACTACTAGTCGAGTCAGGGCTTATGGCGAACTGTCATCTACTTTTGCAACCTCAAGTGGTGTCCGTCAAGGCTGCCCACTTTCTCCATTTTTGTTTAACTTCATCATAGACCTATTGATGGAAATAACACTCTCGTCGACTGAATTCTCGGGTATTGATCTCCTTCCAGGAGGTCCACTTATCGACTTAGAATATGCAGATGACATAGTCCTGTTTGGTGAAGACGCTGACAAAATGCAGAGTCTTCTGGTAGCACTAAGCAACAATGCCAGAATGTTTGGGATGCGCTTCTCTCCCTCTAAATGCAAGTTGTTGCTTCAGGACTGGTCTGCGTCAACACCTGAACTAAGGATAGGGAGTGAAGTAGTCGAACGAGTTGACAACTTCACTTATCTTGGAAGTCTGATCAGCCCTAATGGGTTGGTGTCTGACGAAATCTCAGCACGGATTCGTAAAGCTCGTTTGGCTTTTGCCAACTTACGTCACCTTTGGCGGAGGCGAGATATCCGTCTATCAATAAAAGGACGAGTATACTGCGCGGCAGTCCGTTCTGTTTTAATTTACGGCAGCGAAACATGGCCTTAAGAGTAGAAGACACCCGTAAGCTACTAGTATTTGACCACAGATGCCTTAGAAATATTGCTGGCATCTGCTGGGATCACCGGGTAAGTAATAGTGAGGTTAGACGCAGGGTATTAGGGAATGATGGTAAATCAGTTGATGAGGTTATGAATCTTCATCGACTGAGATGGTTGGGCCACGTATTACGTATGCCTGAACACCGATTACCGCGACGTGCAATGCTAACCGGTGTAGGGGATGGTTGGAAGAAAGTTAGGGGCGGCCAAACCAAAACGTGGCATCAGTGCCTGAAGTCACTAACTTCTAGTCTGAGCCATGTTGGTAGATGCAGACTACTTGGTTGGGGTCCGCGTGACTTTCGTAACCAATGGTTGGAGACCCTTGGTGACATGGCTCAGAATCGATCACAATGGCGTCGGTGTATACACTCTCTGTCTTCTCTTAAACTAAGAGATTAAGATCACTTCACATCTTTCTTTCTACGAACTAATTCTTTCTTCCTATACTATATCCTTATTGCAATCTTTCTCCTATATATTACCACCTTTGACCTAACCACTCCTATGAATCCGGTGTTCATCTTGCTGTGCTAATGAGGTATGGCAACCTGGGCCGATGCATACATGTGCCTGGTCCTACGTTGTAGCTGACTGACTGACTGACTGTGTCTACAACAAAGTCATGAAATGAACCAAGGGTGGTATATAGTCGCTTCTGAATATGGACATCACCTTCCGAAATCGTGGATGGAGACAAATGACCATTAGGAACATCCAAATAATTGCGATCTAAATTACAAGATTTAGGACCACTTGAAGCAAAATGAACAGTAGTTTTGCATACTGATTTAATGTGTCCTATCCTACCACATTTAAAACATTTAGCATTACGAAATGCACATGAATTACGAGAATGAAATTCGCCACAGGATAAATATTTACCAAACTTATTCTCACCTATGTTGTTTGCTTTGCAATTCTTTGTTGAATTACTTTTGATAAACGCAAGGCTGAGTGACCCTGATAGCACAGATCATCATGACGACTAGGCAAAGTACTAGAAATTTTAACTGATTATTAATCAAGCTTGTTCACTGCCTCATAGTTAATACGTGCTATTTTCACTTCTTGGGATGGACTTTTGGGCCTCTGAATTAATTTGTTCTCTAAATTCGGAATATTTATCCCAGAAATCAACCGATCATGTAGCTGCACATGAAGTTGATCATCAAAATTACACTTGGCAGCCTGTTTCTGCAATTCAAGGTTAAATTATGTAACCTTTTGATTGTCCTGACGAATCATTTTATGAAAATTTTGCTCCTCCACGACATTCGAAATTAATACACCTTACATGATTTAATAGTAGTTTTTTGAGAGTTGAGTATGGAAGTAAAATAGGCTTATCTGAGAATATCAAAGTTTTTGGTAAGCTATAGGCATCCTTTCCGATGAATATGAGGAAAGCAGCCACGACTTTATCATCCTTAATATCTTTCCTCAGCATAATCCAGATTTCAAAACTTTCCATGTAATCTTTGAAAGCCTTAGAATTTGAGTGTAAATCCAACTGTCCAGTCACAGGCTCCATCGCAACGCAAATATGATGATTATAAGTATTTGAATTAATGTGTTAACTAAGAATTCTCAAAGTCGTGCCATTTAAGGCAGACAGAACTAGGAGAGCACAAATGAACGTATTATATTTGGAGTTCGTAATCGGCGAGTAGCCAAGTACGAAGGAATCATTAACTCGTATAAATACTGCGATGACATTTATATAGGAGTATTTACATTTAGTCGGTTGATACTATAAGCTGACTGGCTGAAAGTTTCTGACCATCTACTCTCATGAAACAGACTAATGCTTCTTTTAATGTCAGAAGTTTTGAAATGTCAGAGAAACAGGAATATCACGTTCTAAACTTAAAGTCAAGCATTAAGCTTGAGAAATATGCTATAATTTAAACGTATTGTCCAAATTATAATTCCTAAAGAAAACTACGTTTGGTATATATTTATATTACATTACACTTATCGTTCAAGTGAATATATAGTTTATTTTAGGAAAAGCAATCAAATAACTTGAACATGATCTTTAATTAAACTCAGTACAAATTCTAATTTTTCATGATTTCCATCAAGCTTTTCAAGAACAGAGTACTTAATAGAATGGTCTAGAAATGAAACTGACTAGACTTATAGTCACTTCAACTAGTGAATTCATCGATAAAATTTACTCATCATTGGATAAGAAATATGCCAATAATGACTGACCGATTAATAACAGTCAATATGGTTCTCATGTAAAATATTAGTTAAAGCTTATAAAAGCATAAGTGACGTAAATCGAAAATTAACGAACACCGGGAGTTTTTTGTGAAAATTATTTCACTTAATCCGAAGTTTCTAAAATATGACCACTAAATTTTGTCCATTGTTTATTCTATAAGCTGTTAGATACATGGTTCACTGGTATACCTTTTTCTATTCCAAAATTATTGTATTTTAAACGTAATTTTTTCTACATACTTTTTTACTCTGGACACAGTGAAATTTTTCTAATTGTTTGTGGGTCGTGATCGTGTTAATCATTCATCTATTCATGTCTTTTTGCGTTAATCTCAATCATGAATAAATCGAGTAATGTTTCAGTTGGTTCATTTTTTCTCTTTCTCGCTTGTCAACCAGTCAAGTGGTAGAATAGTTTACCTTGCTCTGCCCTAAGGTCGTTTAGTTACATATCAAAATCAATAAAAGCTTTAATGAAATGTGGTTGATTTTGTTGTTGACCATAGTAGCATAGAAATATGAAAAGAAAAGGAGGAAAAGCAAGTGGGAAAAATAAAAATAAAAAGAGATTACTGTCAAATACATTGTGAAGAATATATACATATGAGAAGTTGACACGAAAACTGTCTATTCTTGACTACTAATTTCTTTATATTGTAGAAAGGCAACTAAATCTGTTTTTGAATGTTTTAAAGATACAAGGAACGTACAACGAAAGCATAAATTAATTTGTGTATTAAGGATTTCCTAACTGGTTAGTCCAATGTTACTGATTCAAACATTTCTTTAATTTCTTTAATACAATCTTCAGATTTTAAGGTCATCCTTAAATCTGTCCATGAATTTGACCGGTTCACCAAGGGAATGAGAGTATTTTCTTTATTCTCGGTGGTAACATTAAAATCACTATCACCCAATAAAACATGACAGAATGCTTCATTACTATTACTATTATTTGTGCAGGTTAAGTTTGATTGTTGTCTTTTCCAACATGATCTTTAGTTAGTAATTTATTTTCATAATGGGGTGTTTTTATTGATTTCAGTCTAGATGAGCGCAATCTTTGATGACATACTGAGTTGTTGATAATCCCACTGAATACTTTATCATTTTTCGACTTTTGCAGTCGTTGACATTTTGCTGAAAATGGTTTGTTCTTGGTATTGATAACATTCGAACTATTCGTATTTGAAGAAGGATTAGAATGTTTTGTAGAACCTTGTCGTGGTTCATTTAGACTAAATTTCTTCGAATTGACGTGTTTAGTCTAAAAGTAATCATGGTTTATGTTCAGTTTAAGATAAATTGGAATACAGTTAAATTGATAACTAGTTTCTATGGTTGTCTAACAGCTATTGAATAATCTATAGAAATCATAAAGATTCGATAAATTCAAAACATAAGTAGTGCAAACAGTCAGTCAATGCTTATAGTCAATAGAATCTTTTCGTGATTCTATAGAAATGTAATGGAAACCTAATATTGAATATAATTAATATTTGTATACAATATTCTGACTCCATTATTATTCTTTGGACAAGATCCTTATAATGTATAATAAATTAAGTGTTTAAAGACTGTTTACGTTTCTAGTTGATATTAACGCAATATATACTGAAACCAAAGTGCAATTTATCAGCTATTTTTTTAAACTTGGTTTATACTAAATGATGTTAAACTATGGACTTCATAATTTATAAAACAGGCGTTAGATGTCCGGAGTCTTCATGGCTCAAGATTTACAATTCGGGTGTGTTATTGTGGATGCATGCAGTGAAAAATTCAAATGATCAGGCTGTAACAGTATTAAGAATGATTACATGTAACATTACTAACGTTTGTTTTTCTTATTGCAGGGCAACAAAGAGTAAATGTACTGGAAGAAATGGAACAGGCCCTACGTAAGCCGAACCTGCAGAACAATGGATAAAACTATTTCGTAATAAGTTTCCTTTTTTGTACCCGAACCGCGTCTTTCAATTTTAAAATATATCTGTTGTGCCAGTACGCCGCGTTTTTATTTCAGAGGCATTTACCGGTCCTGACTGTTGTGTTGTTGTTTCAGACCAGTTAATTACTACTACACAAGGACATATAGTCAATGTGTTTATGCAATCTGATGAAACGTGTTTTTTCTGAATATTTAATTGAATTGAATACAATCGGTCATTTAGTTAAATTATCAAAGTTACTTTTTAAAAATAATATTTCTAGAACTTGTCTTATAAATATATTTGTCCTCGTGAGAAGCACTGACTAGTGGAGTTCAACTGGGTTTATTGTGAAATAGTAACTCACCGAAAATAACGGTGGATATGTCACTCAATTTCATGAATTAGTTGAAGTTAGATATTAAGACCACTGGATGCCGGCCAGCTCAGTGGTCTAGAGGTTAAGCGTTCATGCGTGAGATCGATAGGTCCTGGGTTCAAATCTCACGAGGTGGGATCGTGGATACGCACTGCTAAGGAATCCCACAATAGGACGAAACAGTCGTCCAATGTTTCCAGGTTTTCCATATTGGTCTAACTTTAATTGACTCATAATCTCACCTACTAAAATTACTGCCATATCCACAAAATCTCCTTCTGATACTGTTGTATCCTAGTTAAGATTAAATTACGAGTAACTTCCGAAAACTATTAATGGACTAATATTTTATAAATAACAGTAACTAGATTGTGTATATCCATATTCCTCGATTGATAGATTATTATTGTACGACCTAGTGTTCTTAAGTTATACTCAGTTATTTGATTACCGTCTCACACGTTCAAAGCCACTTTTAACTTCATTTTGTATCAATGTTATTTCTTATTTTATGGTGCAATGCGGTCTGTTTGGCTGGTAACATATACCAAATATGTCTGGAATAAATGATTCGTATAGCGGAAGTTGTTATTGGTGTTTTGGACTTCATTGGACGGGCTAGGCATACAAAGGACCAATAAGAACGCTAGACTGATCAAACCAATTGAATGTCATTGGTGAAGAAAAGTATAAGAACGAATAAGTCGTATTTTGATTGGTGAATAAATTACATGTTAACTAACCACATTTAAATTATTCCAAATTTAAATTTCACCAATTATTTAATAAACTTACTTTTTCATTTGAATACTTTTTAAAATATTTATTTTTTATTAGAATTGATTTATTATTCTTATCTATTAATTTATATTTGTTATTAAATTTATTGATTTTATCCAATGAAAATAGGACCATACTAGATGACGATTGATTATTATTATTATTGATAATTGATATGTTATTATTAATATTATATAAAGATTTTTTATGTTTTGTTAATAATAATGAATTATTCAATGAATTATATTCTGTTGTTTTAATTAATTCTTGATTTAATTTTTTATTTAATAAATGTTTGTCATTAAGTGAGAAATGAATTTTATTTTTATTTGTTGTACAATTTTTATTAATTACTTCATTATCTTCAGATATACTATAGAAAATAAAAGAATAAAAAAGCAATATTTAAATGATATTATAAATGATTTAAAATGTAATAAATATTTAATCGATTTTTTTAAATTGATCATTTAGGTCTTATTGATATTTTGTTAAGTCTTGCTGATTGGACGCTATATTCGTTTCTAAGCTATTCTGATAACCCGCACGCTAGAACTATACGGAGTCCTGAACACCAGAAAGAAGACGCAAAGTATGAGAGAGACACTTTACTCCAAGGTTCTTTTTTGTACAGAAAACATGGGTATTAATAGATGTTAACGTTTGTTAAATCAACATCATAATTCAGCCAATCCGTTAGCAACATATTATGCTACTGACCGATAGTAGCACGCCACGTTGGAATTCTAGAATGCTCCATCGTGCTGTGATTGGCTAGGACTCTTCGGCTCTTTTTGGGCCTCTGGAGGCTCCGTTAAGGTTCTCCAGAAGCCGACTCGACATATTTAAGACTACAATTGACCCATCTCTTATTGGTATATGTGAATTCTGTGAGGATAGGATTGATATTGTCTTAAGTTACAAACATGTACTATCAGTTGTTGGGCACCATCATCTTAGTTTATAACAAATATTTTGTTTTGATGAAATATGTTTATTGCTTATAAAGTGAGAAAATCAATATAGACTTGTTTTGCATACTATATTCCGATGAGAATAATGAATAGTAACTGCTGAGATCTATTTATGATCTAATATTATACATATATTTCTATTGTATAATTGTTAAATAACTAAACTACGTATATTCATATTCCCCTATTATGGGCTTTATTTCGACCTAAAGATTATAATTATTATACATGAACAGCATCATTGATGGACGAGGACAATCTGATGCAAATGTAAATTCGAAGATTGGTAAAGCAAGAGCGGCATTTCTACAGTTGAAGAACATATGCAACTCTAAACAACTGTCAACCAATATCACAGGATCTTCAACACGAACGTCAGGACAGTTCCACTATATGGAGATGAAACTCAGAGAAATACCACAACCATCTGTTCTATCCCTATGAGAATTATGAATGGTAACTTTTGAGAACTATTTATGGACCAATACGATACATATATTTTTATGGTATAATTGGTAAGTATCTAAACTATGCATATTCATGTTCCGCTGTTTTTAAGCTTTATTTTGACCTATAGGTTACTATTATATGATTTACTATTCTTAAGTTATGCTCAGTCTATTAATTACAGTCTCTTGCATTCACAGCCACATTGGACTAGATCATGTTCAAATGTTATTTTATATTTTATGGTGTGATGTGATATGTTTGGCTCGTATATAAACCTAGTATGTTTGATATAAATGATTCACATCGCGCAGGCTGAGATTTGTGTTCTGGATTCAACAGGCACGGCTAGGCAGGAAGAAGGGCTGATACAAGTTAAGACAAAAGATGCATGAATAAAAAACAATTATATATTCAGAAATTGACCACTTTCTATTTGTCTGCATGCTGTATATTGTTGCTATAAGGATTTATAAGTCTAATGGTTCGTTTAGTCACTTTTGAAATTTTAATAGTTGTATTCATGAGTCGATGTAAGCTAGACCACCAATTAAAATCTGGAAGCACTGGAAGGTCGTTTCGTCCTAGTATATGACTCATCGGCGGTGCACATCCTGGAGTTCTAATGAGAAGTCATGACCAGTGGAATCCAATCCGTGTCGGGTAGAGACATGTGTCTACCTCAGACAATGGGTGAATGGTTGCACAAGATCATGGATCAATCGAGTGAAGTTAGACATTGACCCCGCTGAATGCCAGCTCAAAGGTCTAGAGGTTAAGTGTTCGCGCACGAGACTGCAGGTCCTGGATTCGAGTTCTACATGCGGGATCATGGATGCGCACTACTAAGGACTCCTATACTAGGACAAAATGACCATGCAGTGCTTCCATGTTTTCATTGATGTTCTAGCTTACATCAACTCATGAATACAACTATTAAACTCACTACAGACCCCAAAAACCCCCATTTTAATAAAACAAATTTCGAAATTAACATGGATTATAAATTCGATAACATTTATAAATGGATTCTAATTCCATCTGATAAGTCCATATGAACATAGTAGATGAAATTCGGAATTAACTGATATAATTTTAAAATATGTTTGAAGGGGATTTCGACTTTTCATTGAAAGTACCCAACCTTAGCTTCATACTACTGTGACTAACAGTCATTTCGTGTCGGTTATTAAGTAAAATAATGATTATTGTTATAATTGTCAGATTACAATATATAGTTAAGTTAAACATGTTAACCAAATGAATGAAAACAAAATCTGTATAACTATAATACTATAAGTAATATAAACTTACATTTTCAATAATTTATCATTTTCAATCTTATGACAAGTTAATTGATCATTTATATCATTACTAGTATTATCTTTTAACAGATTTTTATCATTTTCAATGTTTTGATCTATTGTTTTGCTAGTTGTATCGCGATTCATCCCTAAATAATCATAATGCAAATTTGATAAGATCTGATTTTCTTGACGACTTTCATCTATTACCGTTTTGTTACTGTTTGATGTTGATGACATACATGAATATGGGGCAGAATTCAAACTAGATAAATGCACTGATTCATAATGAGGTTGCTCATTTTGATGTTTACTGCATTTAAAATTATGGGTAATTGGATTTAGTTGGTGTGAATGATTTTTATAATCTGATTGTACTGTAAGTAGGTTCGTTGCGTTTTGATCAAGTGAAGTTTGAGTAAACTCAGAACATAAAGAAGAAGTATTTAATAACTCTTTTGAACTTCCGTTAGTCGTTAATGATCTATGAACCATTTGTGATTCGCTTATATCATCAACTTTTGATATAAGATATTCTGTGTTTCGGGTTATCAATTGTTTATTAATTGCGTTGTTCGGTGCAATCCCTCGTATATACTTCCGTACCCATTCTCTCAAAGTCTAGGTAATAAGGAAATAAACAAGCTTATGGAATCTTGAAACTTAGCACTTAAGTGTATATAATTATTTAGAATAATTGACGTAATATTTACAACATATGAACAACTTAGGATTATTTCAAATCAGTCTACATGTGCTATTATTTCAGTTTTAAATTAAGAAAGAATGTTCTCTTCAAATTTCTACAGATGAATACCTTTGAGTAATCTAGTTTTGAAAATTCTAAGATTCATAGTTATTGTATATTTAATTGAAGCTTTGGAATATGCCCGATTATTTTTCTGAGTCAATTCATTAACTAGGTACTTGGGTGTGAGCCACTCTCTAAATATAAAGGCTTATGATGAGTGACAAAAACAAATCAGCTAAAGCAGAGTTCGATCTTGATAATACGATTATGGACCAAGCCTTAACTTTCATCAAACCCCAAAAATATTCAAATGAATAGAATCTTTTTTTGAAAATGAAGTCGTTTATTACAAAAGTAGAAGGTTCCGGGTTTCGATCTCATGTTGTTTGGTAGGAGCTCACTTCTGACTTGAGCAGTAACTGTACCCCTATTTTTCAGTGATTCTCTACCTGGCCTTACTAAGTAAGAAAAATGTTATGAACTAAACAATTTCAATAAATAGCATAATCACGATTATTTCTATATGTGCAACGTTAGACTCAACTAAGCTAGTATTCATTTAGTTTACACGTAAACTAATCAATTAAAGTACATTCATATCCTACAGTCATCTGATTTATTAAAACGTGTAATTAAATCCTACAAAATCACAAGGAAATATAATTAAAAAGCTCGTTGGTATAAAACTGTTTGTTCAACTCAAATATCTTCCACCAGACCACAAATGAATTTAAACAGATGAAATTCTGGTAAGAATCATTAGCTGCCAATGACATTAGATGATGGTAATCTAACACAGCACTTGGAGCTGAAAATATGAGCTATTCGATCGTAACCCTATTGTCTAAAAGCATATTCCTCACTATTATACTTAAATCATGTGAATTAATTCTCCTGAGTAGACTCAAACTCAGAAGTCAAGTGCAGAATGTAAAGGTATTTTCAAAGCAAATAATGATATACAAATCATTTGCAAAATGAAAATTTAATGGTTTGGAATTTTAACTACGATACTTAATTATCAATAATCAATCGACTCATGAATCCAACTATTAAAATTACTACAATCTCCACAAATTCCATTCTGATAATAATCAATTTATTCAATTTTAGTCGATACCTTATTTGCTAGTCCTGCTTTATAACGATATTCCATTGAGGTTTACTCTTCATATACTGACTTCTGATACATAAAAAATAACTCATACCTTAATTTTTATTAGCTTAAATCTAATAAAAGATTGGATAGGCTAACCATTAATTCAAATATCTATAATAAGTTCAGATGAGAGGTTCAGATAAAGCAGACCATACGTAGGCTACGTGAAACAACATCAATGGGTTGTAAAACTTATCATCTACAATCAATAAAATGTTTTGTTAACAAGAGTATGTTTTATTCTGTCAGTTCGCATTTAGCTTGAGTACACATATATTAACTCACTAACAATGATGTTTTTATTATTGCCTACCGTTTATTAGTTACCTGATAAATTATTTTTGTATGTTTGAAATGCATAGTTCCATCTCACGAAAAATTTCAAACTTTCTACTTAAATATAACCTTACAATGTATGTGAATAAATAAAACAACTTTAAAAAGTCTTGTTTATTTAAATATACAATAAAAAGTGCATTACATTAATATTTAGAAATTCTGGTAGCGATGACCACAAAGTAGGAATACCAACATTAGACTCAGCTGTTGAACCACCAAGACTTGCAATTTTTGGCCATGGATTAATCTGATTAAAATCTAATATAGTTATCATTAATGCTCGACCAACGTCTTCATAATGAGCTGGAGTATAACGTGGTATACCATTAAGTGCTTGGTTTCCACTGTGACTAGTATGACTTGTACTTGAAGATGCATTAAAACTAAAGTTAAATGATTGACTACTAGCTGTATTCACCATATCAGACCAATAAGGACCGTAAAATGCACCTATTGGTGTGAAACATTTACTGTCATTAGGATGCGCTGAAGCAATAAATCTTGAAAGACGACCTGGTAATGGACCTGAAGAGAAGTAATAATATTAAATTAGTTTATTATTTTTATTACCAGATAATTAGTACATTGATTAGAAACTAAATCACACAATGAATGTGGAAATTATCCTGTTATTTGATTTATACTTATTTAAATTATTTCTTGGTTTCTTTGATACAATTGGTTTAGAGATTCTTATTATATATTTTATATTCGATTAATATTGTAGTGTTCGTAAAATGTGAATATCGATCAGACTTTAGATAAATCATGAGTAACCAAAGCCTTGAAAGAGGTAAATTAGTGGTAATATGAACCACCAATTAAGAACTAAACGACGATTTACTTCAACAGAGAACTGTGTTCTTTTTTAAAACCTTAATTCGGCTTTAATAGTAATTACAAATTATCATGAAATCTCGGTCTATGATTCACATTGAAAGCTTCACAATTTTAAGCAATTAATAAAATGAATGGTGGGTGTAGACTACCTGGTTGTAATCCGTGAGACGATAACAACCGACGGTTAGAGACCCTGAATGATGTGCCTCAAAATCGTTTGAAATGGTGCAGGTGCATCTACTCTTTGTGTTCTCCCAAATTCTAATCTTCTGAATTCTTCATGTCCCGTTTTTCCGCTTTCCAAATTTATTTCACTGAATTATGCTCCTTGAATAACATCTTCAAACCCTAATCTTTACGATTACTGCTTATACTCTTACTACCTCTACCACTACGGGATTTGAATCGACAACTGCATCTCTGTGCTAAGGTGGTGTGGCAACTTGAACTGATGTACGTACGTACGAAGTTCTACGTTGTTACTGACTAACTGACTGATGAAGTCATGAAAACATTTAGTTTAGTAATCAAATGAAGAACTCAAGTATGGTATGTTAAAGTTACTTTACAATAAAGTATTTTTAGTATCACTTTCATCCGTAAGTCTACAACGTACTTTGATGATAAATTTCCTAATCAATTTTTAAAAAAAATTAGGGTACCGTATACTTGGGTTTTTAAAAGAACTTTTTAAAGATAAATATGTATGAAGAATACTTAGGTGGATGTCAGTTTACTGTTGACCATAAAGAAAACAAAATAGGTATCACTGATAGAATCACGCTACATCATGAAATGATTTAATTCAAAATTGTAGAATGATGACTTTTAACTCGGTTATCAACAAATATCGTATTTGCCACAAGAACTAAATATTATATGTTTCAATTGATGAAAAGTTGTAGTTACAAACTACCTAACAGTCTTAAAAGAATATGAACAAACTGTTCAATGTTGAATAATTTTGGTCACTGTTTGATGGATATCGATTTGGGAAAAAAAATAACTTGAGAGAAACTGAAAAATTAGATAAAAATCAAAATCTTGTTAGCTGAATGCAAAAGGATGTTTTTATATTCTGTATATCATAGAAAATCTATAACTAAAATATGTTACAGTATATATTTATTTTAAAATATAGTTAGATCTCAATTAATATCTCGAACGGTATCAAAATTTAAACAATAGACATTATGATTAACTGGATCTTGGTTTGATCTTTGATAAGATTGTATGTTCCCTTTGATGAAAAGTATATTAAGATGGAAAAGATGTCTAATTGTCCCATATTTATAGTAGTACATCTACTCTTAATAAATCTGAAACGAGTGTAACTTACATAATAAAATGAAAAGAATAACTAATTATTATTTATTTTCAGGACATTTTCTTCAACTAATACTTATTACATTCATTCATGTTGAAAGTAACTAATTATCATATTTGATGTAAGTTAAACAACTTGACACAATGTATGAACTTATAAGGAAAATTAATTAATTTATTCTCCAATGTTTAGTAAAAACAAAATGATTTATAATTTACACAAAAGAAATAGAGAAAGAATAAGTAAAATATTCACACCATTACCCTATAAATTATAGTGATTGTTAGATATTATATTGAAAGCCTTTATTTAACTCAACTCTGAATATGAATAAGATATTTATTCAAATTATATCTACTTGTAATGTCATTACTAATATGATATTATAGTACATCTTAGAGATATATTAGAATATACAAAAACTTTCACTACTTTTCTTATTCATTTATCATAATTCAATTGAATGAATTAAGTTTATCATAAAGAAAACAATTTTAGCTGTAGATGTTGTACATTTCGTACTAAAATAAATTAGAAGAAGGATGTAGATTATTTGAAAAGAAAAAACACATCTTGAGTAATCCATCAAGTGTCATTGTAAAACAATCTTGTTTCATCTGTTGATCTAACAAAACTTTTGGTTAGGACTGTATAGTAATAACTTGTAAACTTGAAAGTTTATAAATTGTTAAGTTTTTGAATAAATAATTTCATTTTCAAATAAATAAATACAAAATTTATAGCAAATTAGAACAGTAGTTATTACATTGCCTCTAAATGCCCTGGTACGGCCGAGGGTGAGGAGAGTCAGCTCTTCCTCTCGAAATGCTCTCACATGACCACGCGCATACAACCACTGCCAGGGAAGTCCTACTCACTGCCTTCTCGTGGCCGGGTTGTTGTTTACGAAAATGAGGGGACGAAAAGCGAATGTCCGACGCTTTGACCGGATCCCAAACCGATGACGGACATGGGCTCCAGGATCCTGAGGAAACAAATGGAGTATGAACCAGTTATTGGTCACTGGCTACCATGGAACTACATCTCCTGACTTTGCTCCACTGCTTTGTGGATCGGTCCTTTAAGTCGAAGGCTCGAGGCGTGGCTCCCTAAGAAAACCGCCTGCTTTGCTCTGGGCACCTGGATAGTATCACAGCCCACATACAAATCAAGTGACTTATGTGGCGCATATGTATTCGATGCCTTTTTGTAGCAATATTTATGTACTCAAATAAATAAATAATCCTTTGCTTGTAACTTTTAGGCGAATATAATATTAAACTAAACGAATTCACAACGTAATCCAAATTAGAATGATTAATGCCTAATGGGTTTTGAACACTACCACTAAATGAAATGTAATATTAATTAAATATTTTTTAGTTGTTTTTATTTTTACAGTCTATATCTTTACAAATCTCTTACACTAAGTTGGAAAAAACGTTTTAGTTATAATTATTCTCAATTCACATTACTATATAGTCGAAAACATTTGGTTGAAGTTATACCACGTAAAATTAGTGAAATAAATTTACTGGTTAAATCAACTTTGTATTCGTAAACAAAATTAAGGTCATGTTTGTTGAAAACTATCATCATTCATTTTCTTGATGATATACAGACGATTCTAAATCTGATCAAAAAACAAACAGTTTAAGAACTTTACAATTTCTAAGATTCTCTATAATAGTGAAACAATTTCAAGATAACTTTGAATTTTCTAATGTATATGGTCAGACATTAAGTGTTTCTGTCGTTTGTTATTAGTTATTATTATTATTAATTCTGATCGGACTTCAAACAGTTTCAGAACTGTTCAGTACGCGATGTTCATTCTCTACATTAACTCCACAGGTTATGGAAAAAAATATTTTTAATACACACTTCAAGCTATTTTATATCTCAGTCGGTATATTCCGTTAACTTATGCTAAATCATATACTATTTAAATAGTCATAATTGATATTATAATAACGACGATAACCAGAACAGTTTTAGAATTTATTATATTTTTGCCAGTAAAATACAAGCGCTGTGTTTCGTCCTATTTGAGATCTATTAGCTAAATGTCATTGAATATCATTGTCTACATTCTCATTAATACTCGAAACCAATGTGTAAATGTTCATTTACCAAGTTTTGCTTACTAAACTGCTGAACTCATATCCATCAGTTTATTTACATACTAATAACTGTAATAATTTGTATTTCTCTGTTGTTTATGTTAATGATTAAGATTATTGGTCTTTGTAAACTCTATAAGCATAATTTTACTGCTTGCAATACAAGTTATCAGTATTGTGATAAGTCAGAAAAGATATGCGATGTGCAAATGTAAGAAAATCTAAATACATCTAAAGCAATTTACTGATTTTCAATTATTATTAATATCATAAGAGTAAATTAGGTCACTTGAAGAAACAGAAAATGTTAGCCTGAGTTAGCTTATAGAGTATTTTAAAGTGTAGATATATTGGAATTTTCACTAAATATGACAAAAAGTCTTGGATTCAAAGAATGTTATAAATGTGTGTAAGTTGGAAGAATCGAGCGTTCAGTAGAAACAGCAAAGAAATGTATGGCAAATTATGACTGTTCACCTTCTACCCAGAGCCCATTAGTCTGTACACAGTTTTGTTTACTTATTTGGTTATCGATTGTTTTTGTGCTTACTATGTTTAGATGATACTGGTCAAACTGACATCAGTACTGGTGTAAAGTGATTTTTGTTTAAAGAAATTTTTTTTAGTAAGCCAATGAAACATACCTGAATTGTAATTACATTCAACTGTATAACAATGTGTTAGTCCTAAATGTTTCCACAATGCAACACGACCGGCACCTTCTTTAGTTGAAGTTCCTTTACGATCTTTTTGATACATATTACGTAAACTAAAGTTACATGAATCGAAATCAAAGTAGATTGAATTCACTCCAACTAATAAAGCATATAAAACATTATCTACCTAGGTAAATATAAATTTATTTAAATAAAGGAAAAGAAATTATAAACATTACTATTTATATTACATTTTATTTAAAACATATACAAAATAATAATAATCATAGTCTGATGTTAGTTGGGGGAATCTTTAAAATACTACAGAGCTTCAGGCAAATATTTCATCGTCATTTGGTATATATACAAAAAAATATTATTCTGTATGGAAATAAGTACCTTTAATTTTTACAGCAAGTAAAACATCAGGTAACAAAAGAAATGTGAAGCTATTTCCTCATTATACTCCGTTCTTATCACTTCAATATTTTTAAGACCCTTCAGTTAATTGAATACAGCATCTACTTTTCAAAAAGCTGATGTAAAGTTGTTATAATCATTATTCTTTTATGTGTTAATTGTCTATAAAGAATTTTATTTATGATTGTTAACTTATTGAATTGGTCATTGATTTATAACTCATAAAATTACCATTATTGTTATTGAATTGACAACTGTAATTGAATACTATTAAAGCAGGAATGAACAACATTTGGATCGAACTATAAAGGAAGGCCCGGAACAGAGTGTGATGGAGAATACTGCCCGGCGGTCTATGCTCGATTGGTAGTAACAGGTGTAAATAAGTAAGTAAGTACTATTAAAGTGGGGTACTATCATAATTTAAGAGAATAAACTAAAGTAAGACATTAACTCGTATTAGTTTGAAGTAAATCCATTGATATTCGAGTAACTTTCTTCATTTTCCAGGTACTGACTTTGCATAGAATCTTCAAATACGGTTTGTTGTGCTTATCAATAATTTATTGTTACACATTTGTCGAAATAAACCATATTAAAGTTTTCTTTTGTTATATAATTTTAAAGCCAAGATAGTGGTATTTAGTCTGATTTAAAATTATTTTATAATTTATTGAAAATCCAGGTTCTAAAATTGACTATAAACCAAATACTAATGAAAGTTGAGCTTTGAGAGTGTGTAGACAAAACGTTTAAAGTCGTATTAGTCAAATATCAAAGTATTTTTATCAGTCACATATAAAAAATCGAGCACCAGTGACTAATATGCTACTAATTAGTTGAGTTCATGAGTCAATTAAAGCTAGACAACCATGAAAAATCTGAAAGCAGTGGACAGCTGTTTCGTCCTAATGTGGGATCAGTGGAGTTCAACCGAGTCTGTTGTGAGATAGTAATTCACTGAAGACAATGGTGGGCGGTGATGCAGTTTCATGAGTTGGTTTAAGTTCAACACTAACACCGTTTGATGCCGGCTCAGTGGTGTAGAGGTTAAGCGCTCGCGCTCGAGACTGAAGGTAATGGGTTCGGATCCTGCGAGCAGGATCGTGAGTGCGTACTTCTGAGGAGTCCCATAGTAGGACGTATAATGTACTTATTACAATACAGAAGACTAAATCCACAATTCAGATTATCAAATTAATTACTCAAATAGCAGAGAACCTTATGTAGTAGTATCTATACAAACGATAGGACTCTAAAAAATAACTCCATGTATTAAGAAAGAAAGAGTGATATGGGTGAGCGTACTGTTCTACTAAATCTAATTTCAAAATTATTTTCCTCATATCACTTTATACACGACCATAAAATAGTTGAATTTTGAAACAGTCAAATATTTCCGTGTTATTTCTAGTTAAGTGAAATATATCCAATCAGTTAAATATTAAGATTTTAAATGTATAAATAAAATAAAAAATTCACAAAATTGTTTATTACATTACCATTTTATTTTCATTTTCTAACCAATTTCCATAAAGAAAACAACCACGTTTTGTACAATGTCCATGTAAATCAAAATAAAATACAACAGAACTATCATCATTTTGATTAATATGTAAATAATCAATATCCGATAAATGATCAGCTTTTCTAAGTTGTTGTAATTGTTCTTTTAATAATTGAATTCTATTTAATTCATTTATATTTAAATGATCATTTATTATATTTATTGGATTAATAATTTCACTTGAATCGATTGTTTGATTCTTTTCTTTTCTAACTAATTTTTCAATAGATTCTAAGATAGATACATAATATGGATTGATTGATAAATCTTCATCAATAATGGTTCTTTCTATATCATCTATTGAGTAAGGGTTCAATTAGAAAACAACAATAATAATAATGATCAATAATTTGTATTATGTAACAATTCTTTTCTTGATAAATATTAGAAACATAAAATATTAACAGAATTACTAAGTGAAGAACTTTAAATTACACATAACTGAATAGTCCTTGGATTGAGGTAACTACATCATAAAATAATTCTTGATAGGATAAGAAGCTAAAGAAAAGACTGAAAATAGTTAGGAAAACTAGAATAAAATCAAATGAAATTATGTTTACTTAAAGAGGAAGAATATATTTGTAAAGTTTTAGTGAATGAATTTTTGAAGTAAATCCAACGTTTCGTCTAACAATCTGATCCAAGCTTTTTCAAGAAAATATAATCAAATATTCGATAATTTTGATGTTTGATTATATTTTCTTTAAGAAAACTTGGATCAGATTGTTAGATGAAACGTTGGATTTACTTTAAAAATCTATTCGCTAAAATTTTACAAATATATTGTTCCTCTATACTGTCTCACATCAACTCGGCACCCAAATGCTTTGCAACTATTTGGTCAAATTTAGACGAAAGTTCTTATATGTTTAGTTCAGTTGATGTATAAATCATGGGAGTCCCAATGTTTTCACCATTAAAATGATATTCAAAAGCTTATTTCAAAATGTACTTAACTTACTATTGGTTTTGTGGTTTGGGTTACTTATATTCATATAAGTAGTATATAACTCTGGTTAGATATAGAATGTATTTTAGTAGAAGATTGATAAGGAAAGAACGGAAACGGAATGCAATTGGTATGGAAACGCATGAACAATGAAATCTGAGACAATCGACATATATTTGCAAAATGAACAGAGAAATTCGAGACGATGAATTGGTATTTTGCAAATTAACTATTCGCCATATAGTTCTCAGGTTTTATTGAGATACTCTGTAATTTCGCGTCAACTACATTCAATTTTCCCCACTCGTGCTCTTGTTCACTACAGTTTCACTACAAAACAGTTCAACAATATGTTGTCTGACAGTTCAGTATCTCCAACTGTTATATATATATATATATATATATATATATATGCCCCCAAATGCCCTGGTATGGTCGAGAGTGGGGAGAGTCCGCTCTCCCTCTCGAAATACTCTCACACGGCCACGCGTATACAGCCTCTGCCAGGAAACTCCTACTCACTGCCTTCTCGTGGCAGGAGTGTTGTTTACGGAAGTGAGAGGACGTAAAGCGAATGTCCGGCGCTTTAACCGGATTCCAAACCAATGGTGCACATGGGCTTCAGTATCCTGAGGGAACAAATGGCGTATGAACCAATCGTTGGTCACCGGCTACCTTGGAAATGCATCTCCTCATGATTCTCCACTGCCATGTGGATCAGACCTTTAGGTCGAAGGCTCGAGGAGTGGCCCCCTAAGAAAACCACTTGTTTCGGTTTGGGCACCCGGACAGTATCACAGCCCTCACACATATCGAATGAGATTTGTGTGGGACATATGTATTTGGTGCCTCCTTTTACCAATATCTATGTGTTAAAATAATAAATTATATATATATATATATATATATATATATATATATATATATATATATATATATATATATATATATATATACATGATTATTGAAAGTAGTGGTGTATTAAAAACAGAATTAAATGTTATATTCCAATGCTGATACATTGAAATTTACACTAGTTATGTCACGATAACAAAATATAACAACACACTTTAAAATATATAACAGAAACAAATAAATAAAAGTTTTGTTTTCTATTTACTGTAATTATCTCCATCTGAATCTGATCCTTCATTGCCTAAAACAGAATGAGATGTATCGAAACTGTAAAATTCCTCATTTATTAATTGTTTAACTTCTTCATTAGAAATATTCTCCATTTGATTACTATCATTATTTACTATATGATCTGTTGACTTTATTATCATACTGTCTTTTTCAATCATTTTATTTGTGTTAAGATTGTAATTGGAATTACATTCTATAGTATCTTCTAATGGGATAAGTGTAGTCATTGTATCATTATTATCATTATTATTATTATTATAAGTAATCTGTTTTGCATTCAATATTGGATTATTTTCATTTATAAAATTAATTTTTCGTTTTTTTATTTTTTCATGTTTTAAATAAGATTTAAATTTATTAGATGAATACATAGTGTTGATTGATTCTAAATGTTGTTGCTTAGCATTTCTTTCATTTTTATTATTTAAATTAATTTGTGTATTAACAATGTTCAAATTTTCTAAAGTTAATTTTGAAAAATATTTGGTTGTTATGGTTTTTTCATATGGTCTATTCCATTTCCTATACAAAAATAAAGAATATGAGTATAATAATTAAACTAAACATGAAAGTTTAAAGTTAACATTAAAAAGTGTGCTGACGTCCTATGTTATCCGTTCACAGCTATCTTTAACAGATCCTTCTCATCTAATCTCATACCGAAAATGTGGAGAAAGATGAAGATAATTCCTGTACCCAAGAAAGCATTTGGTGATAAGAATGTAAAATTTAGACCTATTGCAACAACTTCACCCTTCCTCAAAACAATGGAAAAACTATTAATACTTCCTCTTCAGCCTACGATAAAAGAGCATATTGATTCATACCAGTTTGCTTACAGACGCAAAAGAAGCACTTTAGATGCTGTTGCTGTTCTGCATCACAACATAGTGTTCAACTTAGAAAAGGGTAAGAAGTATGTTCGATGTGCTTTCCTGGACTATACTTCAACTTTTGACTCTATACCAAGACAACGTTTAATTAACAAGTTAATCAGCGTCAACACTGACAGCTGGATAACCGACTGGCTATGTTCTTGCCTCTCTGGAAGGGAACAGTATACTGTATTTGGAGGAAAGTGTTCAGAGTCTCCACTGTCTTAGGAAGGTGTACCACAAGGAGCTGTTCTTTCACCTCTTCTTTTCTCTTTTTTTCAGCATGATCTGCCATCTTCCACAGAAAACACTTTTGTGAAATATGCGGATGATTTTACTGTATGTATGCCTATCTCTTTCTCTTTACATCCCATAGAAATGAATGAGTTTTTGTCTCGTATTGATTGTTGGTCTGTTGGTAATGGTCTCATACTTAATCCGTCTAAATGTCAAGCTGTTAACTTTAGTATGAGACATGAACGGAATCTAAACACCATTTTGAGATCCCATAATGCTTGTACCATCGGAGACTCTTTGATATACACTGTGTCGAAGGTCAATTTTCTTGGTGTCACCTTTTCCTCTGATCTGTCTTGGTCTTCCCACGTTTTATCGTTATCGAAGAAGGTTTTCCGTCTGACCTACTACATAAAGAGATTGCATGCTCTTGGAATTACTCGTCATTTACTCTTACAATTTGTCAATTCTTGCATATTACCTATTATTATTTACTGTTCTCCATTATTCTTTCCCGGGCTTTTGAGGAAAGACTTTGCTGTATTGCGGAGAGTGCTGAAGGCAGTTAGCAAGATGTGTGGTGAATCTTTCGAGAACATAATTAATATGGTTGTGGATAGACATCTAAAGTCATGCAAACTCCTGGCAGGTGTTATTTTATCAGATACTAGCCATTCCCTTCACTCTTATCTTTCTCCTTGTATATCTTCAGGTAGAACGAGACGTAATTACATTAAAGTCCATGCACGCAAGCAAAAGTATAAAAGTTCTATAATAACTTACCTAGCAAATATACTATGTGACGAACAGGTTGTTAGAGTTAACCTAGTCAATAACTTGCATTCTTAACATGTCCTTAATTTTAAAAGTTGTACAGTTTTTCGGTTTTTTTTTCCTTTTTTAAAAAACATTTTCTCTTTTTTTGTACTCGTTACTGTGTCTTTTTTGTTGTTGCGTAAGTAACTTGTTGAAATAACCTGTGCTGGGAATTCTATATTGTACCAAAACTATAATATTGAATAAAGCCATTACTAATAATAATAATAATAATTAATATAATGTTATATCCTGATGAGAATAATGAATGGCAACTGAAGGAATCTATTTCTGGTCGAATACTATACGTATATTTTTATTGTATAATTGTTAAGTAACTAAACTATTCGTATTCGTGTTCCTCTTAACATAAGCTTTATTTTGACCTATGAATTATTATTATACGATTTACCATTCTTGAGTTACACTCTGTCTATCGATTACCACCTCCCATAGTCACAGCCACTTATGGATAGATCTTGTATAAATTCTGTTTCATATTTTATGGTACGATGTGGTCTGTCTAGTTGGTATATAAACCCTGTATGTTTGAAATAAAGGATTCATATTGTGGATGCTGAGATTGGTGTTCTGGACTTAACTGGCTGGGCTAGGCAGGAAGCAGGACCGATAAGTACTTTAAACTGCTCGTACATGTTTTATTCGTCATTGGTCCGATCGATAATTCACTGCTCGCTAATTGGCGGTATCGTTACGTTATACAAGAAATAGGGCTTACAGGACACAAGTTATAACATATAAAATAGAATTCGTTTAGTCAACACGAAAAAGATTACTCAACTGACACCTCTTGTATATCATATCTCATTAAATCTAGAGTAGCAGAACAGAATTATTCATGGCAATTCCTTAATTTCATTTTTTATTTTAAATTATTCTCATTCTCCTTTTTTATCACCTGTACATTTTTTAATTTTCTTTATTGCAACTCACGTTTATTATAACTCACTGGATAAATAACATGTATGTAATCGTTGATGGAGGACATTGGTAATCGTAAACCAATTAACTTACATATACTTAACTAAATCGAGTCAAGTTTGTATACGATAGACTCACGAAGAATGTCATAGTTTTCTTTATGTTTAAGCTAATATTGTAGAAAACTCATTCGAAATGAAGTATTTATTGATACTATACTGTACATTTGTTTCTGAAAACATACGTGGTAGTTATCTCTATAAGACATTCAAGTTCCATTTGATTATCATATGTATATATATATGTTAGAAAATCGAGTAGATCGCATGATTGTCAACAGACGTTGAAAATTTCAAATGTAACGAGAACATTATTCTAAATCTATTGAATAGACTGAAGTCATTTTAGATCAAAATTTAATCACACATGAATTGTTTAAATGACACAAAGAACTCCTTAAATTAAAACTGTACCAGAATATGTGTGACTGACATGATTTATTATTTATTAAGCATCCTGTATTATTGTTACGAATCCATGACTACAAAATAAATGTATTTAATAAGGTTCCTTCGGAATTCTCAAACACCAATCCTTAAAAACACAAATCCGCAGTATTTGCCAAAAAAACATAATTACATAGAAAAAAAAACGAAGAAACGTTGGTTAAAAGTAACCAGTCATAGAAATATTTGTAAATAATGGATTGATTTAGTTCTTTCGTGATCATTTGTGTATAGACCATTAAAGATTCACTTTAAAACTACTCAATATACTTATTTTACACTTAACGAGATCAAAAACATTTCACCAATTGATCAGTCGTTCTTGTTTTCTCAATCAATCTTAACACCTTGTACAGGAACCTTGTATTTTTAGCCTAGGATTTAAAAAAACATCTAGACATTTGAAACTATAAAATATATTTTTCTGCTTATTCAACATAATAAGGACTAAAGACCCTAGCCTCGAGTTCCGCGTGCGGGATCGTGGGTGGGCATTGCCGAGAAGTCTCATACTGGGATGAAAAGACCACCCAATGCTTTCAGGTTTTCAATAATGGTCTAGCTTAGATTGACTCGTAAATTCAACTAAAAATACTACAATTTCCACAAATACCCATACTAAAAAACATAAATTTATTTGCCCTATGTTTACAGGAATGGACCATTCAGAAAGTCGATGGCATTATCGTAAGATTTATGCAAAGAGCCCACTTATCGGAAAAAATAAATGATTGCCTTATTACAATTACAGAAAAGATGCATAAAAGAGATGCGTAAAGCATATGCTTCTAAAACTATACAAATCAACTCACATTAAAAAATAAGGAAGATAATCTACTTTTAATGTTGAACGACGTTTATTTTTATCAAAATATGAAATGTAATTTGACTGATTTTGTGTTTTTTGTTCAACTATTCTATGTCTATATTGGTTACTAAATTTTTTAGATATTCCATCATCTGAACTTGAATGTTTTGCGACATTGGAATTTAGTGTTGATGTAGTAAGTTTTGTAACTAATGGTACTAAATTACTTATTTTTGGTATTGCATCTTGAGTTCGGGATGCTGCATGACAATCTTCAAGAGATTTTTGAGAATCAAATTCTGTATTACATGTTACTGGAAGTCTAGTTAGTTTTGAAGGTTTTACATTTTTATAAATTTTTTTATTTAATTCAGTGTTATGAGATGGTGTTGAAATTGACGTTGAATAGTTTAATCGTGATAATGTTTTCTGTGGTGAATTATTCGTTTCAGTAATAGTATGAAAATAATTTGAAGTACTTCTTAAATCTGTATCGCATTGATTAGTGACTGAATTTTATCAGTGTCAGCAATAGGAAAATTGACCCGATGAACAATCGATGTATCTTCATCATTTTTTGTCGAACCAGAACTAGTAAACATATGTTCAATAGGTGACAAATACTTAGAAGATAGATTTTTTCTGCAAGACTATCTGTTTTCGACGGTGAGTTTGATGTTATTGATGATGATAATCCAGTATCAAATAATTTTGTCAAGAAGATATTTTGATTATCCATTTGTTGCTCAAACGTAGTTGACAGATGATCATTTATAAAGTTTAAATGTGATTTTTCTTTTTCTTCATTTTGTTTAATGGTTGTACAATATTCTTTTATCGAATAATTTTCTGAAGTTAATTGCTTCTTCGGAAAAAATAAAATATATACAAGGAACATTATTAGTCTGAAATGTATTTCATTGATTAAAACAATAAAAATGTTTAAGCAACTATAGAATATCAACATTATTAAATTTGGACTATGCCTAGAAGCAGAATCTACGACGCAAGTTTCACTCTGAAACTCATCAACTGAACTTATCTAAACATCGACAAGGAGTACATACAAATACATATTATTACAATAGAATCATGTCCAGTTCTTTTATTTTTGTAAGTGATATTAAAGTTGATGCGTATCAGGAAATATTTCTTCATAACTTCTGTTATAAGAATTATCGTTTTCCAAGAGATCAACAAACACACTTTAGGAATACCAATTTTGTGTTCATAGGAAAAATCTCACAATCAAAACTAGTTATTTGTTGTTTTTGTCTCCATTCCTTGACCTAACTATGAAATAATGGTGTTTATCTGATTACACAATATATCCGATGTGATGGTATGACTTTGGGCTAGATGAAGAAACGTTAAAACTGTTAGGAAGAAGTAAGAGGTAACATAACTAAGAGCATTACTCCATTTTTATCGTCACTTAGCAATGTTCCTAGAATTTCTCTTACTTTATTACGAATATCATACAATGTATTTGGAATTAACTACATGCTAATAATGTTCCGTAAGTGGAACTACCATTACTTATATTTTGAATAGTGGTTAATACTTGAACGAAGCACATGATCCTCGTTTCGTATAAAACTCGTAAACTGGATGTACTTGGATTCCATTGCTGAAGTTTATTCTGAAACTCTTATCTAGTAACTACTACCTTCAATTTTAACATATTATCTAGACAATGTATAATGCAACCTCAGAGAAATATTTACAAACACTTAGTTACTCAACAAAAACAATAAATGTACAATAATATACATACAATTGACTTTACTTTCGTTTCACAATCAGATAATATTTTCTCTTTTGTCTGTTTTGTACCTTCACATGGAAAAATTGTTTGGTTAGGTGATAATTTATCAATAATACGAGGTTGATTATTTGTATTTTTGATAGTAATATTTTCAGAGTTTGTTTTAAAATAGTTGGTAGTAGTATATAATTTTTGCTTAAAAATATCATCTAAAAATGGTGCATATGATTTTAATGTTCCATAGTTTGTATGATAATAAATAATTAAAGCTTTAGTTGCATAAATTGATGGATAGTATAGAAAATCAGGTTTTAAATAAACTCGATTTAAATTGACACCACGAGTATCTGTTCTATAGTGACCATGAAATACACCATCTGGATTTAACATTGGTATTAATTTAAATATATAATGTTTACGTAATTCACATGCACGATGATCATTTATACGTAGTAAAAATTCCAATAATCCATTAAATACATGACTTGATGGTGTTTCACCGGGATGTACACGAGCACTAACAAAACAACCTAAAATATGAGATAAACAAAATGTAAATGACTATAAAGCATAAATAGGATTAACAAAATCAACTTACTTGTTAAATAATAAAATGCTTTACGTATTATTTTTATCAAGTACTGAGGTATAACCATCGAGTAGAAGTTCATTTGTACATAGAGTGTAGTATCCGCGGCCCTTTGGCCTATAATTTGAAATGAGAACCACTGTAGTTCCTACGATGCGAAATGAGAACACAAAGTCTTCTACGAATGAAGGTTTATTGAATCTCTAGAACTCAACGTAAAAACATTTCCTTGTTTATTCAGGTATCTACACCTTTGATATTAAGTGACTTTTCGATTATTAGTATTTTATCTTCAGCAGGTACTTCTTCCATGGATTAACCTTTATAGGGCGAATGCTAGAAGACAAGTGGCGCTAGTCAACTACTTTGCCTCAGTATAGGACTGAATACTCACAACCTCGCTGAGGACCTAACCCATAAGCTTTAGGTCCTCAGCGGTGCTTAACCACTGGATGTTAACTCAGTAGTCTAATAGGTAATTGCTAAGTACCTACAGACATAAATCCGGTTCAGTGAGATTCTATCATCAAGATTATCACTACACAGAAAGACATCATCTCCATACTCTCGGTCGAAAATTTTCTCAAAGAATAAATTACCATCAATAAAGCATACTCTGTTAGGGGCTAATTATATAACCTTGCCTAACCTCCTTGAACAAAGAAACAATGGAGAGAGGTGGTTACGTGTTCTCGCTCTGCATAGAGCGTTTTTTAGCACAGGCTTTGAATGGCGATTTACTTCTCAATTACACTTTTCTTTGATGTTAAACATGAACTATGTTTATAATAATGCGATATCAAAAGCACGTTCATCTGCTACAACCATTTCACATGTTGATATTTATCTTATTGTCTGATAACATTTATCAACTAACCTTTTTATTTGCGAATTTCCATGGTCTAGTTTTATCTAAATCAGGAAATAATAATGGATCAAAGCGATCCTCTTCAACAAAAGTACATCCGGACCAATCAGTGATTGTCAATAATTCAATTCTCCTTCCTTCTAAACTATAACAAAGTAATTCTCTATGAAAATAAATCTTATCAAATAAATCATTTTCTGGGAAACATTTTGGATCATATGATGAGGAAGAAGGTGATGATGATAATGATGATGATGATGATGAGGAGGAGGAGGAGGAGAAGGAAAGGGAGGAAGATAGAGCAAATGAAGTCAGAGTAACATCAACGGTACCATTATTCATTTTTGTTTTATTCATATTCAATGATGTCAATAATTCTGGTGAACCTTTGCAAGTATCTTCAGATTTATCATTATTGTTTATTTGACTCAATTTCATCGTATTATATTTATTGCATAAACTTTTATTATTTACATTAACGTTTTCATTTTTATTGTAATGAAATATGCTATCTAATTTATTTAATTGTGTTTGCATTTCATTATATGTCCATGGATAACAAAATGCAAAATACGTAATACTCCCACGTGGATCCTGGAATCGATGTATAAATGTTAAAAGAAATTGTCCATTGACTAGTTCCCAAAAAGGCTTATCACGTATACGTTGCCACCTAAATAATTCATGAAAAATAAATGCACATATGATTATTAATGGACATAAAAACTTATACATGGTAGTAATATTCACTTATATGAAATACATTTTTTATGTTCTACATTAGTTAATCGCTGAGTAGTAACTAATATTATTTTGATCTAGTAAATGTTCTGGATTATAACCCTTATGTAGTCATTATTGCCCACTTCTTAGGAGCTTCAATAAACGGTAAAACAGATCTCCACCACTCCTCTATTCCCACTGATCCTCTAGTTGATGGAGCTTTCCACGAATCCACCTCAAAAAATAATAACTACATGTTTATATTGTCGAAATAATAAGACCAGTTTATTAGTTCAGTCAGTAGACCAAATGGTTTGTTAACTACATTAAAACTTCATATGAACACATTTACTTGTACAATTTAGAACAATGTTTAGCCGTTATCCCATTCATTCCAACACATTAACTATTGACATCATGAAAGTAAACCAACTAAGAGATAGCGATGAGTTTTATACATGAACTGCAATGAAAAGGGTTTGAATAATAAAATTAATTTTTGCTGTTATCGAAGGAAAATTAAATAAATATTTTTTCATGTCCTCTTAATACCTTCTTTAAATCACTAATTTATTTCATAGCACTCATCTCGCATAATGTGACTTGCGTTTCTTTCTCTACTATAAATAATTAGTTTTTGTCTTATTTTTTTCTCACCACTATAAAACTTGTTTAAATCACTTCTGGTCTGATGAACGGTTTTTAAAAGAATAGCGTTCAAACTTGTGCAATAAATGCTTAAGTATTTCTCTTTAAAAACACTGAACTATCAATTTTCCTCAATAACACTTAGTAATTGCTAACTATATCAGGTGAGCAATAGATGCATCTGTTGTTATTTACTTAATTTTAAATAAGTTTCTTTTGAGTTAGATAACTGATATCTGGTTTGATTAGAGTAATTCATTTTCAAGTCGACTTTTGAAACTCAGGAGTGATAACAATTATAGTTTGTGAATAATTGAAGTTAGATGCGAAAAAATTCACATTTTCTAAAGAAAATTATTTGATTTCAGTTGTCAAGGTTTACAATACTCCAGAAATATTCACATGTCTATTGAGGGAAAGCCTAATTGATTAAATAAACATTTTATGAGTTGTTCACATTTCATGTCACATAAACTAACTCGGAACCCAACTCATGGATTTAATTCATCACTGAACACAGTGCCTATAGCTTTTCATACGACTTAAAGCAACGGTCTACAAATTCGAAGTTTCACGATGTACGTTGGTTTGACTATTTCAACAATTTTGCCTTATAGCCTTAAAAGTAAACGGATTCGATGTGACGTCATATTTATTTTTAAAGTACTACTCCTGAAAGATTTTAATTGTGGTGATTATTTAGTGCTCAATCATCTTACTACTTGAAACAAATTACATTCGCTCCAGAGTATATGCTTTGTTTGTCGATTTTCAGCCCGATGAATACTTACATTTTATTTTCAATTCCAACGAACCCAGGTAATTTATGTTTGCTTTGAAATGAGAAAAAGGAATGATTTTATAGATATACACATATATTATTTATCATAATATGGCACTATACAAGCTAATAGGCCAGTGCCCTTTAAATAAATAGTTGAATATTGTGCTCAAAGAGTCTCGTTACAATTGCATGCACTAAAAGACATATTTTAGTCAAAAAAAAACAACCTTGACTGATACAATATACAAATAATGTCAACGGGAAAAACGTGACGCATGAATGGACCTAAGTAAGAGCTTTCCTCACATTTCAGCAAGAAAACCAAAACTGATTTAAGGTGTTATTTAAGTTATGCGACTCTAGTTGCTATACAACGAATGACCCACATCTAACCTTATTATGTTAAAAGAACTGCTATGATAGACAAATTAACCCCATTTCTAATTTCTAGCAATTGTTAGAAAATCCACAGCTAATAACAGTTTGTAAGCTCATGTGTTCGTTTAGAAAATTTATTCTGAATTAAATCATACTATACATTTTTCAACAAATAAACTGTTCACAAGAGAACACTTTGATAACTATTGTTTCTAAAGATGATAGTAAAAGCCACTTAAGACAATGTGACATTTAAATTTATTTTAACTTATCTTTTGGTAACGTACTGGTTTCCTTAGAATTACCTGTAAGGTTATTTGCTTACTATCATCGTCAACTAGAATCTTTAATTTCATACTGTACCAAGACTAAAAAGTCTTAATTATCGAGTAATTAAAACCGAACTTGTGCACTACTGAATATCCTTAAAGTTTCTTAATTCTCAGTAATGTGTAAAGAGGAAATTAACATAGTTAATCAAACTGAATAGAAATAACAAAAATGAATACACCATTAGAAAACACAAAATAACAAAATACCAGCGAAACTATAACGATACAATCATTCAACCTAACTGTTTAGCTGGCATTAAATAGACTTATTTTGGTTACCTTACTTGTTTTAGATAGACGTTTTGACCTCTACAACGACTAATTAGTTCAACTATTGCAGTTACCCTTTTATTTACGTCGCATAGATGTTACTTACGGTTCCCCTGCTTTTGAGTGTCCGAATCTTTCATTTTCAAAGGTCGTGTCTCATTTAAGTATCAACTGTCTTGCTGGAAATTTCTGACTTCACCACAAACAAATTATCCCTCACTTTATCTACCTATCAATTGGGAGTAATATTTACGATTGTTTTCTATTCATTCTCCATAATTTTTTCCAACCTTATTTAGACCAAGTTGGTATATTTTCTGCTAGCAATAGCTCTTCAAATTCCGTAAAAACTGTGCCACTTATTTTTAGTGTTCTAAAAACAATGACCACGATATAAAAACTAGGAAACAAACCACCTTTTATAATTTAAAATTGTCACTAAGTAAGAAAAATAACACTGCGTAAAGAAACCACATAAAACGTTTTTTGAGCATTTGTGCCAAAACCCTTAGATAACCAGGTTTTTCACCTGAGTTTATATCAAAATCCAAAGTATTGCTTCACTGTGTATCTAACAATTAATTGAAAGAGTTCGATGAACTATTTAATTGTGCATAAATATGTACATAACCAATTGGTGAATACTTTGGTTAAAATGCATACCTAGACTGAGCTACTGATGGACTGCAGACGCGATAAATCGGAGAAAAGCCTTGACTATAAATTTTTGATTGCTTATTCATATTCATTATAGTAGCCCGCATAATCTTCCCAGGACTGTACCCGCGCATAGAAAAATAAAACCATGTCCGATTCCCATTCGCATATGCAGTGCCAGCGCAGTCCGGTTTAATCCACATCCTGAACTCGTAATCAGGTCGAACGTCTGCTATTGCGAAATTTCCAAAAATATTACTGTTAGCTTTATTAGTGGCTTTCTGTACTAGTTGCTGTTGTTGTTTTGAATTAGACTGAAGTGATAATGATGGAGGTTCGTCTGGGTCACGTAGGACCTTCTCGACACGAGCTAGATTTCCCGAGTCGAAGTTTGATGAAAAAAGAATGCCGCCTATGCGACAGTCCATGACTCGTAAAAGGGAACATTAACAGTAATCAAGATATGCACTCGTTACTGAAAGCTATGGAAACCGCTACCTTAAATTGTCAATATTCTTACAATAGTCTTGTATTTATTATTTTGGCTATTTGTTGACTTATTTATTTAAACCTATATCTTGATGCTATAGAAAAACTTTATATCTTGAAAAGATCAATGCTATTAGTCATTCTAATCTTCCATTATGGTCTTGAATATTTTAGAACTGATTTAAGATTTTATAACATTTTACTGAGGTTGACAGGCCCAGAGTATGCGTTAGTCCTTTTCTATCAACCTCATACGCCTATCTAACATTTTATGCATGATATGATTTAAGATAGCAACACAACGTTTAGTAGTATGTTCCACTAGTTAGTTACTTGGTTAGGAAACCTTTTTCTCAAGAGGATTTTGCTCGTCCGTGGTTTTTGAACTCAATAGTGTATCCTTTAGTCCTTCACGACCTAGTTTCAATTAAAAAGGTGTGTTGTGTCTACCGTCACTTCTTAGTATCCTATATATGTTACACTGCTCTGGAATAGTGAAAGCAGCCATCCTGTGGACTTATTCTGGGAGACGCTATCCGTTTTTTAAATAGGTCTTTGTAGCTTGTGCAAAATTCTCCAAGTTAAACCTCACTAGTGCTGTAAATTTTGATCATTTTCACATCTCACTGGGAAAACAAATACCTTAAAGCCCATCCAGTTCTATGAACCCTTTGACTACAAACTGATGGAAGTGAGCCGCGATCAATTGTGAGATAATTACTGTCATCCATAGACCATTTTGGACAGAAACAATGGAACCGACATTTCACTCATGTTCTGGCCTTTGAGATTTGCGTACTCAGCGTGCGTATAGACATGCTTGTCCACTTTTGTTAACCACTAATCGTGATTTGGACCAATTCAACAGAAAGCTCAGATTAATCTGACGTGGACATGTACGGGCATATTTCTTTACTCATCGTTTGATCCTAATTTTGTCACCGTAAGTAGTATTGAAGATCTAACGATATGTAGGAGTTCATTCTCATAAAGTACAAATGTAAATAACTTGAAACAGATCACTGTTGTACAACATTAAATACTGGTCTCCATGACAGGCGTTTGTTATGTATTCTTGCTTTTATAGTTGGAAAACTATGGAGTTTTCGGCTCGCTTCATCACGGTTGATGTCAGTAGACTGTAGCGTGGTGTCGAGTCGTAATTGACTATGAACACCGCTACCAAGAAACACGTGCCAAGTAAATCAGAAGGCGTAGGTTGAAAGTAACCAAATAAATCCATAAAATCCCGAGAAGCCAAATATCAGAAGGCAGTTAATGGACCAAGTCGAGATATATTCGCTGGCGATCTCGTGGCATCGAAAGGATACCGAGATCGTGCCAGGATACAAGCTTGGTTACAGAAGGTAACCGAATTCGCGCGAAGTTACAATCAAAGTGTAAGTAAAGAATGGAAGCAAAAATAGCTGTCATTAGCACAGTCAAACAAAAGCACATTAAAACAAACACTGGTACAGTTGGTTATAATAATAATTGTTTTTATTAAACCAGTCGTGTTCTCGTGATAAATGTGAGTCACTACAGGAGCCCCCCGCTAGAAAGGGTTTACACTTTCGATAAATAGCGGTTTGAATCGTGGGACTGATCGGCTGACGAGCGATTGTAGGACGGAAGAATTGGCGAACAGGAAAGCGATCGTTGATCGTCGAGTTGCCAACGAAGGTCGTTTTCGGAGAACGGTACCAGGAGCGATGTGCTGTATTTGTTGCTTGAGTTGGCATGCTACACCAGAGTGGTTTGTATCCAGAATCTGAAGATGGCGTTCGTAGGGTCCGGACCAGAAACGCTGCAGACGTAGGACGAAACCACGTTGAGCCGATGAACCAGAAGCGACCATAACGACCAAGTTCGAGACCAAGCGTATGCCAAGCATTCGAAACGAAAATATCGACTGAGTGCGTTGACAAGAGCGTGGGTGATCAGGCCAGCTTTCGCCAAAGTTGACTGAAGTCGACGGAACCAAACGGAGATGGTCGAAGGCGTGGGCTCAGGAAACAAAAAGAAAATCAAAAAAGAGAAGAGTGTAGCATGCGTGTAGTATAGGAATAATCCTACACCGTATCCGTTGTTAACTGTGCGGCTAGTCGCGGAAGCGTACGGGCAACCGTACTCGGCGACCGGAACGTGAGACGGTAGTCTCGTTCGTATCTCGTGAGCCTGCAATCTCATCCGAGGTCAGAGGCGGCGTGGTCTGCTGATCTGGACGTGAGACTGTCGTCTCGTCCGTAGACGGTGCAGATGACGCGTGCTGTTGACCGGGACGTGAGAATGAGGTCTCAGATGTATCTAGCGTGGGACCTGAAGAAGGTTTGAGGATCCCGCTAGTAGGTTTGATAGGTCTAGCATTGAATCTCAGGTTATCAGATAGGGCACTGTCATCGACGTGTGCTGGTTTGAGACGATCAATGCTGACGATCTCGACGCGGCCATGTCGATCAACCTTGAAGGTCTTTTCGTGACGAGCGATCACGTATACAAGTTCAGCGGCGGAACATTGAATATCTGCGTTCAAGCTCGTTCTGATGCCTAAGAGAACGAGCGGTAAGGTTTCGTGCCATTTGCCGTTTTCGTGTGCTCGTAGAGCACTTTTAAGCTGGCAATCAAACCGTTCAACTTAACCATTTGGTGCTGGGTGGTAGACGGTTATACGTATGCGTATGCATTCCGTACCAAGCAGTCGGGTCAGCGAGGAGAATAGTTAATAGGGGAAAATTTCTCGAATAAAGCGTGGAATTAATCGTCACGCGAATAAGTGACAAGGATTCGGTACACATACATGGGAGTCTATTATATTAATACTATTCTTATCGTTATCCGTCATGTCGCGTATATTATACATTGAAAGGTAATATGAAAATATACGACATACGTGGATAGATAAATAATGGACTCACCGAATTGGCTTCTTTGGAAGATTCGACTAGAGGTTGAGGCGTGTTCCAAAACTTGGGTCACCAATTGTAGCGTGGTGTTCATAGTTAATCTAAACTCGACACCACGCTACAAGACTTTGAGGTCATACTAGCATATCCTAAACTAATGAGAGTGATGGAACTGAATGTCTTTGTTTTATCGAAATCATCTTATTGGTAATATACATTTTCTAAAATAAGGTAAATTTAGCGTACTTAGATTATAGAATAAAGTATTAAAACTGAAAAGCCATTAAAATGTAGAAGAAGAATACGAAAAAAAAAGCAGTACTCACATAAAAATTAGTTGCAACATATGAACATTGGATAACATCGCGTAGCTGTCTTGAGTTGTTGGTAACAATCAACGATCACCTAATTACTTACGCCTGTTGCCCCTCATAAGGGAGCATATGCCTCACACCAGCATTTTCCGTTCAACTTTGTCCTGGACGATCCCTCCCAGTCGCTATTCATCTTTTTCATGCCTGCCTTTGATTAACGACGCCGTGTGTTCTTCGAACCTCCTCCCTTCCGTTTCCCTTCAGAATTTAAAGTTAGCACTGTTTGTTGATTTTCACAATGTACGTCAGATCTATTTCCAACGTTTTTACTCAACTTCATCTTCACCTGGAAGCTGATTTGTCCTCTCCCGTAGTAGGCCATTACTGATGGTATCCGGCCAACGAATATTGAGTATCTTGCATAGACAGCTATTTACAAATACTTGCACCTTTTTGATGATGGTTGTGGTAGTTTCTGCAAGTTTCAGCTCCGTACAGTAGAACTGTCTTGATGTTCATATTGATGAATCCGACTTTTATATTGGCTGAATGTTGTTTTGAGTTCCATATGTTCTTCAACTGTAGTAAAGCTGTCCCTGCTTTGCTAATACTCGTCTTTACGTCTGCATCAGATCCATTACGTTCATCGATGACGCTACTCAAATGCGTGGAACTTTCCACCCCTTCCAGAGTTTCTCCATCAAGTGTGATTGGTTTGGTGCCCTCCGTGTTGTATTTGAGGATATTACTTTCTTCTCGTGTATGTTGAAACCTACTGATGCAGAAGCTGCTGCTACACTGTTTGTCTTCACCTGCATATATTCATGTGCGTGGGGTACAAGAGCTAAGTAATTTGCGAAATACAAATCAGCTAGTTGCGTCCAACCTGTCCATTTCATTTTGTGCTTCACATCGGATGTGAAGGTCTTCATAATCCGTCTACCGCTGGAAGAGAAAGGAGGAGAGTAGGCAGCCTTGTTCGACTCTGGTTCACATGTGGGGTGAGTTTGTTAGTTGTCTCAAAGCAAGGCTTTGCAGTGTAGTTCTTCGCATCATTCCCATATGATGTTGACTATTTACTCAGGAAATCCATAGTGTCGGAGAAATTTGTATAATATTTCCCTATCAACACTGTAAAACGCTTTCTCATAATCGAATGAGTTAATGTATAGTGACGAGTTCCATTCTGTTGATTGCTCAACGATGATCCGTAGTGTCCTGATTTGGTCTATGCATGACCAATCCTTGCAAAATCCAGACAGTTGATCTCGAAGTTTGGTGTCTACTGAGTCTGTTGAGTCGGCTTTCGAAGAACTTCAACGGAGCCTCCAGAGGCCCAAAAGGAGCCGAAGGATCCTAGCCAATCAGAGTACGATGGAACGTTCGAGAATTCCGGCGTGGCGTGCTATTATTGGTCGGTAGCATAATATGATGTTAACGGATTGGCTGAAATATGATGTTGATTTAACAGACGACAACATCTATAAATACCCTTGATTTTCTGTACAAAAATGAACCTTGGGATAAAGTATTTTCTCTCATACTTGTGTCTTCTCTCTGGTGTTCAAGTCGCTGTGTAGTTCTAGTCCGCGGGTTACCAGATAGCTTGAGAATCGTATATAGCGTTCCATTGACAAGACGTATCAGAGTCTTCATCCGGTTCAGAAACACTCTGTTGAAAACCTTTTCTATTACTGACGTCGTTTGATACCACGATTTCTT